TATATATATATTATTTGTGGATACATTCCTTCTTATCATACTCATTATTTTGATACCTATTCACTTTGTAGGAAGTTTTTCTTTGTTTTGCCAAAGTAAATCAATTTATTATTGAATTACTATTTGAGGTATTTTATTTATTTGGTTTTAAGTTTTAACTAAAGCTTAAGTGAATTATTTAATTTTCCACACTTGTCGTTATTTTCAAGTTTCTTTTTGTTGATTATAATTTAATTTCTTTTTTTGTTATAGTTTCCATGGTGGTAACTGCATTTAAAGATTCGAGTACTCTGTTGATGTAGGACTACGCCCGTCTTCTATTCAAGTAAGAAAAATGGACCACTTTTACGTTTTCCGTTTTTTTTTATAATTGTTTCTTCAATTTGTCATGTAATATTCTAAGCATTATCAATTTTTAACAAAATTTTTATAAGATTATTTGTTCTTTTTGTTATGACTAAATGTACTGTAATATGCGGATACATCCTCTTATTTGTGTATCAAATTAATTATATTGATACATATTCATATCTTTTTGGTTTTTCTATTTGAAATTACTTGAATTGTCATTCACTTACAGCATTTTCTTTCAATTTATTTAAGTTTAGCTCAAGTAAAAGTTCAAAATTCTTTTTGTTGATTGTGTATTAAAAAGATTTTGTTTTGTATTACAGCTTCCAGGGTGATAACGGCATCCTAAAATACGAATATGCCCCTGATACTGAGCTACTACCATCTTCTACTGGAGTAAGAAAAATGGACCAATTCTTCATGAGACCATTTCTTTAATTGGACACAATTTTTTAATTAAAAGTGGGTTTATTGAGGCAATTTTCTATTTTAACTAAAATTTTTATCATTGTATTGTTTGTTCATCTTATGGTAATTAAATGTAAGTTCATAGATACGTCCCCTTATCCTTATATCATACTAATTATTTTGACATCCATATTTAAGGAAGTTTTGCTTGGTTTTTTCAAATTGAATTTATTTAAATTGTATTTCAGTTATACCATTTGAAGTACCTAATTTGTTTAATAACATACTTTCACAACATCAATTACAAAAATTTGATCTAAATTATGAATCAGTATCAGTTTTCTCAAGTTTTTACTTAATTACATTTCTTTTTAGTGTTTTGATTATATTGAATTTGTTTCTATGTATCTATGTACTTTAAATCTTTTTTTTTCATTTTTTTAAGCTTAATTCAAGCTCAAATAGTTTGTTTAATTTTTCATACTCCAGTCAATATTTTTTTGATCAATATAATCATATTAAAAGCAAAAACTTGTAAAACTTTTCACGTCTTGTACAAATGCAACCAATCATACACCATTGTGAGTTCATATCCTATGACCTGGCTCCTTCACCAAAATTAACATTTTTAAAATAATTTCTTTGGTAATATTGATATACCACATCCTCTTATCTTTGTATCAAATTAATTATTTTGATTTATATTCATATCTTTTTGGTTTTTCAAATTGAATTTACATATAATATTTGAAGTTTTTACTTACTTTTCTTTTTAGTAATTTAATTGTACTGGATTTGTTTCTATGTATTCAAGTTTATTTTTAAATTTTAATTTTTTTTTTAAGTTTAATTCAAACTCAAATAGTTTGTTTANAGGTTTTACTCCAATTAGGTTAATTTAATTGCAATAATAATGAATATTTTAGAAATTTATTTATTTACGTTAAGATGAAATATTTACATGAATTGTATTTATATATTTCATATTAATTTAGGTCAAGATGATTGTTTATTGTAGTTATCATCTTAGGCTGTAATTATTTATCACATACTTGCAAATTTTTAAAAACGACATTGTTAATATCACTGTAATAATAAACTGGGGAATTGGGAATTTATTATGGGGAGAGCACGGTTGTATGAAAGTAGCAGCAAGGGTGGCAGTGAACGTGCGAGAAAATAAGGGTGAGAACATTAACTTATGATTGAGGATTGAGTATGGGTGCGAAAGCAAGGAAGGTGTAAGGGAGTGAGAATGAGAAAGTGTAATTCTGAGATAATATATTAGTGGATGAAGGTAAGAGTAAATCTGTGGATATGAGAGAGTGAAAGCATGGGGTAAAAGGGGTTCATATGAGTTAATGTGTGCGTGTGTGGAAGAGGAGGCAAAAGGAATGAAATGTAAGATAAAATGAATGTAACAAGGGTGAGTCTAGTGAATGAAAGAATGTGTAAGAGTGAATAAGGGTGAGACTATGTGGATGATATCGTGTGTGTGAGAGGGATGATGTGTACAAGTGAATGAATATAGGGTGAAAAAGAGTGTATCTGTGAATATGAGGAATGTGAGAATATGAATGAAAGGGAGAGAGGAAATGAGGGTAAGGATGTGTGTGAGTGAAAGAGGTTGTAAATATGAATTCATCCCGTATCACATACACACACATTCTCAACCTGAGAGCGAGAAGGTGAGAGTGTGTGCGAGAAAGAGAGTGTGTGGGAGAGGGTACAATGTTATACCC